AGATAATAATCCATTTCTTTGTCCCATAAATGTCTTGCCTTTCTATTTTTCTTCTTAATGTCTTTCCTCACACCCTCTTCCTTCTCCCACATTCTTACCACATTATCTGGTAGCAATAACCATTTTATATGTTTCTATATGCTCTAATCTTTACATTTTAACCACAGAGTGCACACACATATATTAACTGGACACAAACGGTGTCTCATTCATATCCTGGCTTGCTTCACTCAGCAACAAATCTTCCATATTTGTCCACTTTCTATCAAAAGCAAGGGTCTTGTTTTTTGATGGCTGAGTAGTATTCCATAGAGTACATGTGCCACACTTTTTTAATCCATTTTTCTGTTCTGGACTTTGGGCTGGTCCCATGTCTTAGCAATTGTGAATAATGCTCCAATAATAAATATATATCACATTCTTACCACATTATCTGGTAGCAATAACCATTTTATATGTTTCTATATGCTCTAATCTTTACATTTTAACCACAGAGTGCACACACATATATTAACTGGACACAAACGGTGTCTCATTCATATCCTGGCTTGCTTCACTCAGCAACAAATCTTCCATATTTGTCCACTTTCTATCAAAAGCAAGGGTCTTGTTTTTTGATGGCTGAGTAGTATTCCATAGAGTACATGTGCCACACTTTTTTAATCCATTTTTCTGTTCTGGACTTTGGGCTGGTCCCATGTCTTAGCAATTGTGAATAATGCTGCAATAATAAATATATATCTGCAAGCATTTTTCTGACTAAGCATTCTCCTGTCCTTTGGGTAGATACCCAGGGGTAAGATTGCTGGATCATACAGTAGTTCTTGTAGATCTTTGATGAATCTCCATGTTGTTCTTTGCCGTGGATGGACCAATTTATATTTCTACCAGCAGTGTAGGAGAGTTCCCCTTTAACCACAGCCCCACCAGCATTTACCATTTCTTGTATTTTTAATCTCTGCCCTTCTGACTGGGGTTAGATGATATTTCACTGTGGTTGTGATCTGCATCTCCCTTTTGTTGAGCACTTTTTTGTATGCTGTTTAACTGTCCATAAGTCTTCTTTAGTTTTTTATTTAGTAAATTTTTCCATCTTTCAATTGGGTTAATCATTTTTATTTAGAGTAAGCTGTTTGAATTTCCTCTGTATTGTGGTTATCCATCCTTTATGTGAAGCATAATTTACAAAAATATTCTCCCATTCTGAGGGATGTAGATTCACAGTAATTAATGTGTTTTTTCCTATACAGAAAATTTTAAATCTGATTTAATTCCATGTGTACTTTTTGGGGATTACTGACTGTATTTCAAATTTTTTATTTAAGAAGTCCTTGCCTACCTTATTGTCTCCCAGAGTTTCCCCAGAGTTTTCCACCAGTACCTTTATAGTTTGATCTCTTGGTTTATATCTTTGATCCACTCTGGGTTGATTTTTGTCAATGGTGAGAGGTAGAGGTTCAGATTCATCTTTCTGTAGGTGGATACATAGTTTCTCCAGCACCATTTGCTAAAGAGGTTTTCCTTTTCTTATTAAATTGACTGGTACCTTTTATCAAAAATAAATTGGCTGACTGATAACCTACAACATATCAGTCATGTTGTAGGGTATTATTTTAAGCTGGTATATGTCATAGTATAGCCCAATTTTTTTCTCAGTTGTAAATTTTCATCACAACTTTATTTATTTTTTATTTTTTTTTCTTTTGGAGAGGCTCATCACATCTTTAACTATGGTTGTTTCTGTCTTATTGTGCCCATTGCTAGTTGCTTTGTTTGATGCCTTTTTTAAAATGTATTTTTATTTAATTTTATTTATAAATTTATTGATATTATTCATACATTAAATTGCTGTACATCATTTAGATTGTGAAGAGACTTTACCCAGCATGATATATACCTCAGTCCAGACCAGTTGAGACTATTATCATTTGCAATAAATAAATAACTCCCACCATGACTGAGAAATAACCAACATAGTGTCACTGAATGTGTCATTGGGAAGAAATTGGTTCTTATAAGCAGTGTGAGCTGGTTTTTGTACACCATACATTGTATTATGTTATTATATCATGTATTATATCATGTAATGTCATCATATTTTATTAGTTTACAAGGGGACTTCAAAAAGCTTATCGGAGAATGGAATGAAAGTTTGAGTTTATCTTGGTGCAAAAAAAATTTTTGCTATAGGGCACGTGTGCTTGACAGAAAGACAGAGAGAGACAGAAAGCGAGAAATCACCCCCAAAGGGGGATGGCCACGCTGCAATCCCTTCTCCTTCATTCTCCTCTCGGGATCATGGGCATGCACGCACATGCACCTGGCATGAGTTTAAGCCACCAGGTCCAGGAATCGAACCATGATTAACTACATGGGAATCTAGCGACATAGCTATTACACTAACTGCTGGTTCCGATTTTTTGAACTACTTTATCACCCATTTTAATGGATGAGCCAGAATTAACCAAAAGCAAGGAAATGTTTTGACAGAATTTCATGTTACGATAGCCAATACAAAAATTGTTAAGCTACATATCACTTCCTGGTTCATTGTCTAGATCAAGTGTAACTTGTTAAGGTCTGTAATTTAAATAAATTCCATAATATTGATCTAAAAAAAAGAGAAAGTAATTGGCAGTATGGTTCACAGTTTATTTCTTGGGTCTCTATTCTGTTCCATTGGTCCAGATGTCTGTTTTTGTTCCAATACATTGCTATTTTGATTATCACAGCTTTGTAATATATTTTGAGGTCAGGAAGTAAGCTGCACCTCTTCTTGCACAGGATGGCTTTGGAAATATACAATCATTTATGATTCCAGACAAATTCTATTTTATTTTCTAGATCTGTAAATAATGTCTCCAGTACTTTGATTGAGATTGCATTAAATATGCAGACAACTTTGGTTAGAATTATCATTTTGATTATATTAATTCTTGCAATCCAGGACCATAAAATGCCTTCCACTTTCTTAGTGTCGTTTTCAATTTCTTCTTCTTTTGTTTCTCTTATTTTTCGTTGCAGAGATTTTTTTACTTCTTTGGTTAGATTTATTCCTAGGTATCTTATACACAGATGGCTTTGGCAATATACGATCATTTATGATTCTGGACAAATTCTATGATTTTATTTTCTAGATCTGCGAAGAATGTCTCTGGTTGCATTAAATATGCAGACAACTATGTTTAGAATTTTCATTTTGATTATTCTTACAATCCAGGACCATGAAATGCCTTCTACGTTTTTAGTGTCATTTTGAATTTCTTTTTGTTTTGTTTCTCATATTTTTCCTTGTAGAGATTTTTTACTTCTTTGCTTAGATTTATTCCTAGGTATCTTATACATTTTGTGGCTATGGTAAATGGAATTACTTTCTTCAGTTCTATCTCAGTCTGCATGTTGTTTGTATATACGAATGCTATAGATTTTTGTATGTTGATTTTGTATTCTGCTACTTTACTGTATTCTTTACTACTTCCAGTAATTTCTTCATGGATATCATTGGGTCTTCCGTGTATACACTTATGTCATCTGCAAATAGAGATAATTTCACCTCTTCTTTTCATATTTGAATGGCCCATATATTTTAAATAGTTAAATTTTAATAGTGTGCATACATGTCACATCATTAGACTTTCTAAAAAACTATAATCCAAAATTTCTACCAAACCAGGAATGAGAGCAAAGTTCAAATCTCAGAAACATGATTTTTCAAAACTTTACCATGTAAAAAACTGCACTGAAATAGCTTTAAATGGAGTGTTTTAATAAAAGATATCATCCCAAGGGCTATTGACAGTACTGTAGGAAATAAAATTATTAGGTACCTTGGCAATACTTGGTACAAGCTGATAAAGAGGAAAGCAAATTGTAGCAAGTCCTAGTTAGGAATCTAGGTAATCTCAACATGATGAGCGTTGGGAGGATATACAGTGATGAACTCTATTAAAAGTGGAAGTTTTTGTGAAGTGGAGAGAAATATAGATATCTATCAAAGCAGCTGATAATGTACATGATTATGACTATTGATACTATTTTATGCTCAGATTTCTGAATCTGTGTGTAGCCAGAGCTGTCGTCCTGGATTCCAGAAAGTTACTCAAGAAGGAAACCTGCTTGCTGTTTTATTTGTGTTTCTTGCAAAGAGAGAGACATTTCAAATCAAACAAGTATAAAACATAAAAGAAGCTAATGATAACTGCAGTCCCTAATTATTTATCAATCAAAAGGAAACAGATGATATTGCAGATGGAATATAAAGCACAATTGATCTCAATTCATGTATTTACTCACCCTTTCAATATATATTTTTATAAACACTGGTACTGCTCTCTTGTGTGTCTTCTCTAGCTTTTCTAATCATATTAGCTTCAATTCTGGAACTTATTCTAATGAATACATTTCTTTGCAATCTCATACTGGATAGGACAGTGCTAATCTTAGATCGTAATCTAGACCATGCAATTCCTACCCATAAAATTTAAGATGTGTTGCATTAATGGCTTCAGACTGATGGAAGTTTTATACTGAGATGATAAGTACAACACAAGTACTGGTAACAAATTATAAAAGTACTTTATAACTCTTTCTATCTTGCTGGGACATGTATTAAGTAACAGAATTAACTAATATCAGAAACCTACATTTTGAAATATTATAGTACAGCAAGGGAAAGGAACATTTTCAATACAAAAGCCTAGGAACCAGATCCTACACAGACAACTGTGTGGTTTGAGTCCCAGACCTGGCAGTTTGATAAACATTCTGAGTGCATGTACATGTGTGCCCAAAATCCCAATGAAAGAGAGCGATGGAGAAAAGATTGCAGTGTGACCATTCCCAATGAGGAATACTTTCCTCCCTCTCTCTCTCTGTTTCTCTCTGACAACCCAAATGCCATCTAAAGTGTGTGCACACACACAAAATGGAAGAATCAATCTGGTTTCATGGTCTGGTGGTTAAGGCAACTAGATATCACATAGCCAAACTCACAATTTGGGTCCCAGACACCACAACTTGAAAAAGACATCAGGCATGTGTGCATTCATTTCCAAAATCTTGACAGGATGGAAAAATGGGGAAATTATTGCAGCATGACCATTCCTCATGGTAGGTGCTTTCTACCTCCCACACTCCATCTCTCTCTGGTGAGCACATGTGATCTCTGACCAAAAAAATTAAAAAAATAATAAACTGAAGATAGCATTACAATAAATTTCACCATCTGGCAACTCCAAAAACTAGGTGTTAAATGAGATATAAATTTAACAAATTTTACATCATGAAATGAGGTATTGTCAAAGGAAATGTGGAAAATTTAGTTAAATCCTGTTTCCATTATCAAGTCTGTTAAAAAAATGTACAGTAACTATGGTGGGCATGGGAGCCCAGGAATGGAACAGATTCAGGATGACTTACTGATTTCTGGCTTGAGAAACCTGGAGAACAGTGATACTTCAGGCATAAATGCAAGTTTAAAAATAATGATAATAAATTTATTAATAGTTTCACATTTTATCAGTAGGATTAAAATGGAGAATAATTTATACTATAAAGCCAAGTAAATGATCAATTTTCAGTATAATGTGATAATGTTAGTCAATTAGTGCATTAATATATTAAAGTCATTATTCAAGAAAAAAGTAGAACTACTAGGTCATCAGAAAAATCATGCTCTCTTCTTCAGAAAAACAAAATTTGCATAGAAAAATATGTCATGTCTTTTCTAATAATCCAATACACTAATGAGCTACATGACATTTCTAATAAATATGGGAAAAGAAAACTTAGTAAACAACTCCAGCTAGAACTGTGTAAAGGTATTATTCTAGCTAGATTGCAGCAAAGAGGTCTCATTTGAAAGAGAAACACAGGTTCTGATGTTGTAGTAAAGACAGAATAAATACCAACTTCACTACTTCTGAGTTCTAGTTCTTGGGGAGAAATGGCAGTCACTTGACAAGTGGAGACTTCAGGGATGGAGACTTTGAAAGAATGCTAGGTATCAGGTAGAAAAGCCAGGTACTCTACTGAAGTTTTCTTCAATTTTGACTGCCTGTGATCCAAATTTCTGTCAATTGAAGGGGAAATTCTAGAATAGGAAGGGGGAAGTACTTATCCTTAAGTAATTCATGAAAATCAGAGAACCAGTAGACTCTCCTTCCCCTGGCTCTCACAAAGAAGTCACTGGAAAGTGGCCTCATTTCAACCAATTCCATGTCCCATCCTTGACCTTGAGATAGTCAGATGACATGCAGCAAAGTTGAGAAGTTCTTTACAGCACAAGCAATGATTTAAATAACAAGTAGGACACAGGGCATGTCATTACATTTAATGTTTCTTGAAGCATCAATAGTGGAAGAAAGAATTC